AACGGCGCGCGTGCAGCGGTCGCCAGGACCTCGGCCATCCTGGGCGGCCCCCTTTCGGCCCCTTGCTCCTGACAGCCCATGGCTGTCAGTCGTCAGCGACACGCCCTTTCCCTTCCTCTCCTACCTCGCGAAGTTCCCCCAGATGCAGGCGGTCGCGGCGGTGCTCTGGCTCGGATCGACTGGGCCAACGATGGCACCCAGGCGATCAACTGGCCTGGTGTGGGCGGGGCGCCGCCAGCTCGGAAGCGCCCTTCAGTTTTGCAGCAGCGGTTTCTCGACGACACTGCCGCGCAGCATGTCAAGTTCGGCGGCCCGCCAGCTGACATATCCCGCTCCAGCTAGCTCTCCGACCTCTGCTCCAGCTGCCCGCTCTACTCCGCGGGGCGTGGCAACGCGGTCTCCTACAGCATGGACCTGGTGTCCTGGCCTTCAGGCGGCTCGGCGCCTGTTGCGCTGCACGGCGCCCTTCTGGAGGCCGACCGTTTGTGGCTGCAGGATTGGGAGACCCATATGCTTCGCCCACTTGAGGAAGCAGCGGCCCTTCGACGAGATCTCGGACTCTCTCAACCCTACGTTGACCCCAAGCTTCGGCACCCTGCCACCTACGGCGAGTTCATCAGTGAGCTCCTGGGCAGCGGCATGCTGCGCCTTTTCTCCAGCTCGCGGCCGTCGCGGGCTCCTGGGGGTCTTCGCGGTCGCCAAGAAGTCGGGCCAGCAGCGGCTCATCTTCGGCACCCGCGTCTGCAACGCACGTTTCAGGTCACCCCCCTGCGCCGAGCTGCCCAGCGGCAGCGCCTTCGCTCGCGTGGAGACGCAGGGCGACGGCGACGCGTGTCTCATCAGCGGGGGCATCTCCAACGCCTTCTACGCCATGCAGGTCCCCGAGGGCCTCTGTGAGCACTTCTCCCTGCCACCCGTTCGCGCTGGGCTTGCTGGCATTTCTGAGCTCGACGGCGCCGCGATCCACGAGTCCGAGCGGCTGCTGCCCGAGCTCACCATTCTGCCGATGGGCTGGTCTTGGGCGCTGCACCTCTGCCAGTGCGTCTCGGAGGCCGCGCTCGCCCGTGCCCCGCGCAGCAGGTCCGCGACCGCAGCCGCGGCGTGGTCCTTGCGCCCCAGCTGCCTGTCGCGGGAGCCGCGTACGCCGACAACTACCTCGTCGCAGGCTCCCAGCGGGCCATGGTTCAGTCCGTGGGCCGCGAGGTTGAGCGTGGGCTCCCCTCCCTCGGCTTTGTCGTCCACGAGCAGGTTGAGGCAACCAGGTCGACCGGCTTCGTGGGGCTCGAGTTCGACGGGCATCGCCACTCGGCGCGGGTTTCAGCGCGCCGAGCCTGGCGGCTCCGCATCGCCATCGAGGAGCTGCTCCGACGGCCGAAGGTTCGCGGGTCCATCCTGGAGATCTTCGTGGGCCACTGCACCTGGGTCACGCTGCTCAAGAGGTGCCCCCTGGCCATCTTCGACGCGGTCTACGCCCTCATCGCCTCCGCGAAGGACGAGCCGATGCCGTTCTGGCCGTCGGTGCGGCGCGAGCTCTGGCATGTCCGCTCGCTGCTGCCGCTCTTCGCCGTCTTCGGCAGCGCGGACTGGCGCGACGAGGTCACCGCCGGCGACGCCTCGGGCTGGGGCTGCGGGGTCTGCCGCCGCCGCTGCGACCGCGACGCGGTGGCCGAGATCGGCCGCGCGGCCGAGAGGTGGCGATATCTCCTCGAGGAGTCAGCTCGCGCGCGCGACCACGCCCTGGGGCCTGGCTCTCCTGGCGCTGTGCTTCGCGACCCTGGCAGCCCGCCGACGGGCGAGGCCAAGAACTGGGGCAAGTCCTTCGGCGAGGTCGACCCGAACCTCCTCACCGAGGACGGCTGGGCCATCGCGCACTCGTTCCCGTGGAGGGGCTCCGTCGACATCTACCGGGCGGAGGGGCTCGCCGACGCGGCCGCGCTGCGCCACTAGCTCAGGGCAGCGGGCGCCTTCGGGAAGAGGATCGCGCGCTTGGTCGGCAACGTGCCGCTCGCCCTTGCCGTCGGGAAAGGCCGAGGGGCCTCGCCGCAGCAGCGCGGCGTCCTCCAGGAGATCTGCGCGCGCCCCCTGGCCTGCAGGCTCCACGTCTTTGCCGGGTGGGCCCCCCGGCGAGCTCAACCCCGCGGATGCGCCGTCGCGCGGCCTCCGATACATCAAGTCCGTTGACGCCGAGGTGGCTGCTGCTCTTGGCGACCGCATCCGTGATCCTCGAGGCTGCCGCGGGAAAACGGGGGCGCTCGGCGCGGCCCCCGATGCCGACAGGACGTGCCCCTTTTCTCCAGCCCGCCTTCCTGGCCGCTGGCGCTGGGGCCCTGACAGCCGCCGCCCCGCGAGCGGCAGCTGCGCGCCAGCGCGAGGCCCTGGGGAGGGGTGGCCCTGATGGGGATCACCTACCTCGAGCAGAGGTCTGTCGGCAAAGCCACGCTAAAGGACTACCAGCGGAGGGCGGGCGCATTCACCGACTGTCGTGCCCAGTTCCGCCTGGACAGGAGCAGCTTGGACCAGCTGGACGTGGCGGTGGCGCCCTACTTCGACTACTTGTATTTCCACGGCCACAGCGGGGACGACGCTTCGCGCCTGCTGGCTGTGCTGAAGTTCTTCTCACCGCAGATCGGCCGCTGGGGCGACCAGGCGCTCTGCTGAGCCTCGCGCAGCCTGGCGGGATGGGGGATGCGCGCCCAAAGCAATATGCGCGCGCCGCGGCCTCGGCTGCTCGAAGCGGCGCTGGCGGGCGCGATGCTGCGCCGCGGCCAAATCGAGCAGGCCGTCGCCATGATGCTGAGCTTCGCGTGCTACAACAGGCCATCAGAGTGCGACCAGTTGACGGCGACGCAGGTCGCCCCCCCCCCGTCGCGGCGGGCGCCGCGGGCGAGGGGCTCGCCGTGCAGCTGTTATATCCCGGCGAGTTGGGGCGGCCCGGGAAGACGGGCCCCTGGGACTTCACGGCGGCGATCGACACCTTCGCCTTCTTGGCCCCGACACTCCTCGGCTTGAAGCGCCGGGCGCCGTCGGGGACATTGCGGACCCGGTCGCCCCCGCCAGCCTCGCTCGGCACGCGCGCGAAGGAGGCCGCCTGCGCGCTGGGGCTGAACGACTCCCCGGCCCCAGCCCACGGGCTACGCCACGGGGGCGCTTCGGACGACCCCCCGGCGAAGAGGCGGGCGGCTCTCGACGTCCAGCGGCGCGGCGGCTGGGCCGCTGGGCCTCCGACCAGAATTTCAAGCGCTACGCCAAGCAGGCTCGCATCCTGACCAAGCTGCAGCGCGTCGGCTCCCAGGTGACCTCCTTCGGCCAGGCGATGGGCGCCGCCCTGCCGGGGATTTTCCTGCAGGGCGCGCCGCTGCCCGAGCTCTGCCTGACCTGTCGCGGGCAGTGCAGCTTGCAGGGCCGACCGAGGGGGGCCCCTCGACGGAGTCGATCCATCGTCAATTCCTCAAAGAGCTACACGCAAGCTTCAAGCGTCACAAAGGCCCCCCCGGACTGCTATGCTGGAGCTGTTCGCCTGCACGGGTCGCCTGTCCGCTGCGCTTCTTCGCCGCGGTGTCGCCGCGCTGCCGATGGACTTCGCTTCGAAACCGCGGTTCGATCTCGACCATCCTGCTGTCCGTCAGGTCGTTCGTGGGTGGGTTCGTGGTGGAGTCGCTGCCGCTCTTTGGATTGCGCTGCCGTGCTCGTCTTGGAGCCAGGCCAGACACGGGCCGCCTGGGTCGTCTTGGTGCACCATCCGCTCGAGGGAACACGTTTGGGGGTGCCGAACCTTGCAGCCAGGCCGCAGGCGGCCGTCAACCTGGGGAACTAGCAGCTTCGGTTCGCCCTGGGCCTGATCGCGCTGGCCCGCTCCCTGGGAGTCCCCGTCTACTTCGAGAATAGCTCCTGGGTGTGGAGCACGCCCGCCTTGAAGACCCTGCTAGGGGCCCACGATGCCGTGTCGCTCGACCTCGACATGTGTGCTTTCGGTGCCCGCTGGAAAGAGTTCACTCGAAACGCTTGCTGGGCCCGACATCACCCAGACGCTCTCTTGAGACCGCGATGCAGTTGTAGAAAAGGGTTTATGTTCTTTCCCAGGCAAGCCCCACATTATCCTTTCTGGCCTTGACCCCGTCTCTGGGATCCTTTGGACCCGCCTCGCCGAACCTTGCCCGGTTAACTTTTGCGATTGTATCTCCGATTTAATTGCAAGGCAAATTGGTTTTCAAGGCTTCAATCGTTTGGTTTCCCTTGCCTGCCCTGTCTCTGATAAGTACTCTTGCTAATGTCTTGCTTCTGCCTATTTCATTTTATGTATTATCGGCGCCGTCCTGCCGTCGCCACTTCTCCTCTCGGGCTCGGGTCTCCTCCTCGGTGTTGTGTGGGTGCGTTGGGTCCTCCTCCTCCTCCTCCTCCTCCTCCTCCTCCTCCTCCTCCTCCTCCTCTCTCTCCTCCGTGTGTCTCGTTCGCTTGCTGCTGCGCCTTCGGTGGAATCGCCCGGGGCGCCCGCCACGCAGAAATGTTTGGGGTGGCCTGGGGTGTAGCAGGATATGGCCGTGTTTGCACATTTCATCTTCAGTGGAACCGAAGGCCGTCGTGGTCACGCATTTCGCCGCAACCGCGTCGGCTCAAGTCTTTTTCTGGCCCGCCCTGCTCTCCCTCTCCTCTCTCTACTCCTCGGTGTTGCGTGGGTGCGTTGGGTCCTCCTCCTCCTCTCTCTCCTCCGTGTGTCTCGTTCGCCTGTTGCCGCGCCTTCGGTGGAATCGCCCGGGACGCCCGCCACACAGAAATGTTTGGGGTGGCCTGGGGTGTAGCAGGAGATGGCGATGATGATGATGAAGCTGATGATGCTGATGATGATGATGAGGATGATGATGATGATGGTGATGATGATGATCGTGGTGCTGGTGGTGGTGGTGAGGAGGAGGAGGAGGAGGAGGAGGAGGAGGAGGCTTCTCCCGTCCACTCCCTTTCCCGTCGGGCTTTCGGTCGGCCCCCAGGGCCTAGTCATCCCAGAGGCTGCGGCAGCAAGCGCCGACACAGTTCTACCTCGGCGGTGTGCTGATGGGGTCGCCCCCGATGCACCACCAGGCTGACGTGTTGTGCAGCAGGAGCACGACGAGGAGGACGAGGCAGAGAGCTCGTGCATCCCAACTGGGGCTGGAGTAGATGAGGTCGGTGGATCGCGCCCCATCGCCTATGCATCGCCAATGCGGTGAGATCCTCTGGCCCCACTTGGGAGGCCCTTGTCGGAGAGAGGGAAGGGGAAAAGCAGGGCACAGGACGGACATGGAAGGACTATTCAGAGGGAAAGGAGGAAAAGAGGGGGAGGACAAGCTCAACCAGGGACCCTTGATGGAAAAAACATGACAGTGGTGGCCTTGGCGTCGAAGTATCAGGTCTGCCAGTGGGAGGCGGCCTCAGAGAGCGGCCTCCGCGTGGCGGAGCGGGCTGCCCGGCTCCGCGATGTGCGTTTCTTCTGCTTTCAGTCTCTGGCGCGTCTTGGCGCCTGGGCGGGATGGTTCGATCAGGCGTTCGTCTTACACCTGGACGCTGCCCGGCGCTCCTTCGAGGCGCGTGGCCTTTCGCCCCCGCGAGTGCCCCGCGCCACCAGAGTCAACGGCAGCGATCGACAACGCAGGCTGTGGCAGCGCACTTGCGTTCGGCCCATCACACGCGATCGCACTCCTGAGTTACGTGCCTTCCTGCAAACGAGACCATTGAGTTGGGAGAGCGGCCTCTCCGTGCAGAACATGGTGTACTGGGTGCTGACGACGTTTCCCGCGGTGGCCCAGACGTGCCCTCCGCGGGCGCTGGCCGCTTGCATCCGGTCAATTTGGAACGGCTGGATCACGAACCGCCGCCTCAAGGCGCGGTCGGCCTGCTACTTGGGCTGCGCAGCCAGAGAAGATTCCATGGAGCATTGCGCAGAGTGCCCGGGCGTGTCCGAAGCAGTGTGCCGCGATTTGGGCCTGGCGCTGCCGACCACGCCAGAGCTACGCCTGGCCAGATTCCTGCTGGTAGATCCGGCGTGCTCTCAGGCGACCGCGCCAGAATTGCGACGACGTGCTCTGGCCACGTGCGGCGTGTATCTCACACAATGTCGGGCCCGCCACGCGGCCGCCAGAGGGCCGTTCGAGTGTCTCAACGCACTGAGGCTCAAACTCCGGGAGCTCTTCTGATGATGGTAGTGTAATTTCCTCCTTGTTCCTTCCGTGCGTTCTTGCCCACCGCTCTGCTCCTGGCAATGCGCCGCAGGCTGCGTGGCGACAACTGGGGGTTGCAGTGCCGCCCATATCGTTGAGGTAGATGTTACACATCTCTGTCTTTCCCTTGCTCTCCTCCTCTGCCTCGTCGGCCTCCTCCTCCCTACGAACCGTGGTGCCGATCTGTTTGTTGGAGCCGGCAGATGAGTCTGCGGCGGCGGTGGCCCCGAGCGCTCGACTCCACGCAGCCGCCCTCCTCTTCTCCTGTCCTCCAAGGCGGTCGCCAGTTCGAGGGGATTCCGGGCGGAGGTACCAGCGTGCCCTCGAATTCTCCCGCCGAACAGGCCTCACACGCGCCAGCCCTCTCGCGCCCCCCGCCCAGCCGCGGAGTGAGGAAGGAGGGCCGCCTGCGACAGTGTCCCAGAACCCGCTTGGCACAGGAGAGCCAGAGCGGACCGCAGTATGGCTAGAGCCTTATTGCAAGTTGTCGCCGCCACCGAGTTTCTCGCACGCCACCGCAGTTTCAGCGCCATGTCGAGGAGCCAGCGAGGACAGCGCGACAGAAGCAGGCAACCATCAAGACCCCACAGCAATGGTCGATAATGGCAAAGCAGACAGCATCCCCCCGTCAAGTGTCTGTGGGAATGCCCAGCGTGCAGTCCGGTGAACAAGTGGAGGGCCAAGCGGCGTCTCAAGTGCCACCCGACCTTCAGTCGAATGTCAGAAGCAGTTCTGGTGTCAGAAGCAACGACAAACAGGGAAGCCCGCCATGGCAGGCGCAGAGTAGTAAGGGTAATACGCGGCCTGTGATCGATGAAGGCGAAAAGATCATGAATATTTCGCCATGCGCTCCCGAAGCAGCAGTTGCGCATCGAAGGTGGCAGGACCCGCCACATGACCCGCAGGGGCTAGGCGACTTCCACAAACCCCTAGGAGCGACGCTTGAAGGACCCGGACGCCAAAACCAGTGCCCGCAGGAGCTCAAGTTGGGCACCCATCAAGTCGAAGAGCTTCGGCACGAAAGCAACGCGTTTCTGTGCCAGCCCATGCTCTCGAGGACGGCCTCGGCCCGCACGGCCAAGCAGCTCAGCTTCGTCAGCCGTGCAGCGCGCCGCATGGCAGAATCGCAGAACCAGCATAACGAACCAGCAGAGACGTGCCTCGAGACGCACCGCAGCCAGGTGGAGATCCTGCATGAGGAGCTCGCACATTCAGAAGCCATGCTGGAGCACCTCCAGGACTTAGAGGAGACAGAGAAGGAGGGGCGCAAGACGGCCGACAACCACACCCAGCGCACGCGTGGACCGCGCCCCGAGGCTTCGGACTACACGGATGCGGATCATGAAGATGATGGGTCATGGGATGAAGCGCCGCTCGCAGCACATGGCGATTTCAGGCCGCAGCGGGCCTGGCCCGCGGCGCAAGGCAAGCCCGAGGGCAACGCCGACGCGTCGAAGCCAGAGCCCAAGCAGCCACCCCATACACCGCCTGGAGCTACACCGTTGACTTCCACCTGCTCAGCGGGCACGGAAACATACCTCATCGCGCCAGGGTTGCTCGCGTCCACGCAGCATGCGCAGCCCCAGCTTCTCGCTCAGATCCTGGACTTCAAAAACACGATGACTGGCATTCAGAAGCAGATTTCGGAGGTGAACCAGCCCCGGAAAGAGGGCAAAAAAGAACAGCTGCAGCAGCAGATTCTGGATATCGAGAAGAAGCCAGACACGCCGCCGCCATCTCCGACAGAGGTCAGAACAGCAGGCCGCCACCGCATGGAAGCGGCCTTCACGCATGGAGCAGCAGCGACACCACGACCGGCGCGCCCTGTTTCGCCGAGACGCGAGACGGGGCAGGCTCCACCCGAGCAGACCAATATCAGCGTGGACAAGGCGGTGGACTCGCAGCATGAGCGCCCGGACGAAGAAGCAGTCAATCTCGCAGTTGACGACGCAGAGGAGGAGGAATTTCATGGGGCTGCCACAGGTTCATTCAGTCTGGGGGCAGCAGCAGCGGCATCGGCAGCGTCAGCGGCTACATCGCCAGCTGAGGCCCAGCCGCTACTTCGCTTTGCCCCCGCTCAGACAGCGCCGGCGTGACCCCGCCCCAGCAGGAGGGGTCATAATTCGCCCGCGCCGCCCCAGGACCATGCCCCCCCCCCCCCCCCCCCTCATCCCCTCAATTGTCTCTGCTGCCTCCGAATCCAGCGAGCACCGCAGAGGGCCGACCTGCGTGCGAACATGGATGTACAACGGTTCGAATTGCATTGGCCAGCCTCGGGAAGCTTCAGATTGTGCTCCCAGGAATCAAGTACATGGCCCGCGCGGCCTTCAGTGGGCCTTCTATCGTGGGCCCCCTACTAGCGCCCATCCACGACTCAGGCGCTGCCAGGTCTCGCTCCTCTCGGCTCGAAGGCGACCTGCGATTGTCTGCGCGCCCGCGCGGATGCCACCGCCGGGGGATGCGAGCAGCAGGGCGAAACATGTTTACCAGCCTGGGCTTTCTGCGTGCTCGCAGTCTCAGCAGCGGGCGCAGCGTTCCTCGGACGCGCGGCTTGGCCGCTCGAGGGGCGGGGCTCCAGCGACGCGCCCATCCCTATCTCGAGCCGAGCTGGAGTCGGCCATTTGGGCCGCGGTTCGGATCGCGCAGCTGCCGCGCGCGCCCGCTTGTCCCATTTATTTTTCACGGGCCAGACGACAGGGGGCCTTGCGATCGGCCAAACTGCTACTGGACAGCCATGCACGCTGCGCGCGAGTGCGCGCGCGTCGCGCGGCGCATCAGCACGCGCGCGGTCACGTTGCGCATCGGCGGGGCGAGTCCGTGGACACCCTTGCACGACTGTGTGCCATGCGAGCACTGTCGACGTTCTACGAGCCAGTCTGGAGGGCGCTCGCTGAGCAGCCACAGCATCGCTCGGCGATGCCATAGCTATGGGCCAGATACACTGCCTCACGCCAGCGAAGGGCCATTCCCCCGGATGCCAACCGACGAATCCCCGCGCCGAAGGGGCCCAGCATTGGCCCCAAACAGATCCTGCCAGGGCCCAAGCAAGTGTGTCAACCGAACTCTCAGGCCTCTAAAGTCTGGGTGGCCATCGCCGACGTTCTCACCGCGCGCCCCAAGGCCTGCCGGGGCAACGCCAGAGCGCCCCGACAAGCTGGCCTCGACATCGCCGGACGCACGATGCACTTCTCGGGCCAATTCGCGCGCGAGCCCTATTTGCTGGCGGGCGCGGCGGAGACGCGTCTACACGAGACGAGGGTCACCAATGTTGGGGACTACTGCGTGATGCGCGCCTTTGCTTTACCATCGGGAAGGGGTGGCTGCTCTCTCTGGGCCAGCGCGGCAATGGGGCATGCCCTAGGGGGGTGCCGCATCGCCGCCTCGCAGTGTTACGTTGCGCACGCCGCCCACGCATTTGCTTGGTTGCTATCCGCGCTGCTGCTGTCAGCTCCTGCGTCTGCGTTGCGCGCGCACCGCGTTCGAGGAGACCGTCGCAAGAGATCTGACAGCGGTGGCAGGACCTTGCCAATGTGCGCAAGGAGCAGAGAAGAGGGGCAGAGCACCTCATTACCTTGATTGATGCGAACGCCGCGCCCGGTTCGGTTGATGCTGACACCGCGGGAAGCACCCATGCGGAGACGGAGAATGCACCGGGAAAGTGCTCCAGGCAGTTTTTTTTAACAATATACACAGCACGGCGCCCTCCACCGTCTACGAGAGCCGCGTCGAGGCATACCGGTGCGTGGATGGTCACTGGGGCCAGGAAGCAGGCCAAGCGGCGCTCGCGATGGCCCTGCAAGTCCCCCACCAAGGCTTTGACAAGCAGATCGACCTTACTGTGACACTGCCGGACCATGCGAGCGTGGCGGCTTTGGTTGCATTCCC